TCCAGCCCTAATGTCTATGAAATCTATGAAATCTATATATGGAAAACTCTATGTTAAGTATATACTATGGTTAAACGATGCAATTTCCTTGAATCCAAGGCTACATAAGCATTGTCTTTAATACACATAAGTCTTTTGCTACTGTGTATCCTAATAAAGTTTGAGTTGTGACCAGAATAGTCTTATTAGTCATCAGTCTAACTCTCAACCCCATATCCATACTACTGGATATCCAGGGGCCAAGAAAACGTGCAAATAAAAAGCGGAGCAGTACACATGGGGGCAGCGCATACTGCTCAGAACTGGAGCCTGGCCACCCAGAGCCACACTCTAGCTGCTGGCCAGGCTCCAAGTGGCAGGAGACTTGCTGCTGCAGCCCTAGGAGGCCTCCAGGACCCCAGGTAAGGCTGCCAGGTCCAATGCTGGCCCCAGTCTCCCCTACCCTAATCAGGGTAACCTGCCACATGCCAGAGAGCTCATGGCAGAGGCGTTCCCTGGGGATAAGTAACAGTGGCACAAGGTATGCCACCGCTAGTTGTCCCTGGGAAACAAATGTCCACACTTATGTGGATGCAGTCTTAGTGTACATATTACCATTCTATTTAAAATAAGATTAATAAGTTCTGTCCAAAATGAGCATTTACACCAAAACATTACCAGCAAAGATCTTCTAATGGACTTTGTAACAGGTATGCTCAATACAAGTACATCTTACTACTGGTTTCTAGAAATCACTAAAAATTCACATCAACTCTGAAGCTCAAAATTTGTATACAAGACCTAGGAAGAAAGTAATCTATAGGTATGAGGTATGCTCTTCACGCTCTTTCACAGAATTATAATTCCTAGGCAGCTCAGAAATCTAAAAACATAAATTGCAACACAGATGTTTCAATTGCTCTTGCAGGGATGTTGGTGCCTTCACAATGCCATGGCTAGGGCTCAACTGCTGATGTGCCCCTGGCACATATTAATTTAAAAAGATGTGATGGGATCTGCTCCCTAATCCCAACAACATCACTTTCTGCAGTGCCACACATGCATGGCAAGACGCACAACTTTGGGATCATACTCTAATCATGCTGTTACTATTTGCCAGTGCAGGGGGAGCCTGGGACCATTATCCTGGGTTCCCCCTGCACCAGCAAGTTGCAAGCCAGGTATTTCCACATGAGGCTGACAACTGGCTGAACATCCAGTTTGAGACCCAGGGACCAGGGGCAACCATCAGCTGATTGTCAAAACCCAGTGCCCAGCAGTTCTAGCTGGACTCCTGGGGATCAGAAGCTCCTGGCACAAGGAGCCAAAAGCCTTCTTCAGTTGGAGACTTAAAAAAACTTGCAGGCTTCTCTGCTGGGAGCCTCTGATCTCCTGTTCTTGGCTATGCCGTGGGTTAAACTACCCAGCAAGGAAGCCCTTTGCCAAATCCAGCCTTGGGCTAGAACCAGTAAATTATCTCATTTTCAGTCCCAGCCCTGGGACAGATAATCAGTTGATTATTGGCCTAGGCCACATGTTAAAATTTAAGGTGCCATGCAAACAAGTCATAAATGCATTTTACATTATATGCAAATCATATTTATGGCTCATGTGCTGTTTTAAGGTGCCTTAAAGCAGTGGTCTCCAAAGTGGGGTGCACAAGATGATCCACTGTGGTGCGGGAATACAATATTAGAACTTCTATTTATTTTTATATAAATATACATATACTGGGGGTGTGTGCTCAAAAATTTTTTACTGATAGGGGTGCGCGATCAAAAAAGTTTGGAGACCACTGCCTTAAAGGGCGCATGTGTACCATCTTTCCCATTTATGATGCAATTAATATTAATCACAACAAACATAATGTGTAGAGGGCACCTATGTTATTGCTTTTGGGACTGTATCTCTTTCTACTGAAGACATATAACCAAAATAAAAAGGATGGGCACATGTACATGAATGTGTGCACACACATACAATTATATATTCCAAGTGTCCTGAAAACATTTTTTGGAACTAATAAAGTATTGTGTTGCAGGCTGCGGTTTTTTGGCTGTTCCATATCAAAGTTATGGAGATAAGCCATTCTGTTAAATCATTTGTGACAGATTAAGATTAAAAAAGATCACATATGTGTGGCATCTTTTGCTTCTTAAGCCCTTTCAGTCCATTTTGTTGAAATAAAACAAGGTTTACTATAATATTCTGATATAATAAAAATGCTTAAAGGACTAGCAACCAGATCAAAATGCAGTGGTCTGTCTTCCAGCTAGCACTCAGCACTTCACACTGTTCAACCACAAAGCTTAAAATAAAAAGCTTGACTATAAAAACAAATGAAAGCAAGCGTGAAATTTTTCATTCTGCAAACATTGTAAGGCAGCTACTGTCTCATTCACTCACGGAAGCACTCTGTGTGTAAAAACCATATATTTAAAAGTGGTTGCAAAAGAAAAAAAAACAGTAAAAATGAAAGATATTAACCATACTGTTTCAGGTCTACCACCCGCTTCCCTCAGAAAGGGAACATTTTGCCATTTGTCAATAGGCTCAAATATCTTGAAAAGATGGAAAGTGAAACATAAAACTTTCCTTATGTTGTTTTCCTATTTGATCTTTTGTCTCATATGCTCCCCTTAGGGAAGTATGAGAAATACTTCTGAATAATTCATGAGCACCTAGGCAGAAACTACCTTTATCCTTTTGAATAAAAAGGTTGGGTATGACAAACCAGTTGAAGTTTTTCAGCAAGCAAGGAGAATCTTAGCCTTTAAGAGGCATTTTCCTAGCACAAGGAGATAAAAATTTAGCAACCCACTTCAGTTAACCAAAAATCTATTAACACAGATGAAAGTGCTAATGTTTTATTAAATCTTTATCTTTTAGTAAACTCTGTGAAAGGGGAAAACCAAGCATTGTGAAAAAATTAAGGACCATAATTAACAGACTATATTTGCAGACACAAAACATTTGTGTTTTAAAACAAAATATTCTCCCATTCATCTGCTAGTTGTTTCTCTGCAAGAACTCAGATTCCAAGCACCTAAAATTGATCCAAAAGCATTTTACAGAAATGTTTTACATGATACAGACATTATCAGTTATTACAGGGAAACAATGTAATTAGAACTCAGCAGCCAGGGGAAAACTAAACTTCAGTTTAGTTAAAGAAATGTGCTCCTGTATTTAGTTAAACACCACATTTTTCTCTGACAGTGAAATTCACTCCATGCCCTGCATAAAATCCAAGAACCCAGGGATTATGTGGGTATTTAAACAATGAGCAGAATTCAACCCTTACCCTAGAAGCAGGATTGCTATTCTAGTCTATGAATTAGACTCACTCTATAGCCCTTCTTTGCAGAGATATTTGGTTCTGTTTGTATGCAGATCCTGTGACTCCTCTTCTATCCCACTCCTATAAAACTCCTCATGCTGAAACACTCAGTTTTACTGCAGATACCTCCTTACTTTCCGAAGGACACAGAAGATGCTGAAGCCACGTAACCATTTCAATTATGTAACTTTACTGTTTAGCACTGTTCATTTGTGTGGAAATGAATTTCATCCCTCACTGAGTATTGATAATTTTAGTTACACCTGTTTATGTATCTTTTATTAAAAAATTAAATCCAACTTATCAATACAATGACATGAATGGCATCACCATAGCTCCAATCGTTAAAACAATAAAGCCTCTTTTAAAGAAAGCAAAACACCTGACTTTTTATGGAATTTGTACCTTATCTTTTATTTGCAAATCTCTGTGAACACTTTATATTGGCTTTAAACTGCCACTTACCATGCAATTTTCTCCAACTAGCACAATAACGTACGTCCAAATGAAGTGTTATATATGTAGTATGGAACAAACTGTATTTAAAATGAATGAATGACATCTATACCACATTTAGATGCAAGCCTCTTCATTACTCTCCAGCTAAAGCTGAAGTTTTAAGCATTTTTTGTTACAGTGCACAATTCATCTGAACGTGGCAAGACTACAGTTCTGCCTTCTTATTCCTTACTAGACTTGTTTTAATGCAAAGATAGTTATTAAAACTGCACTTAAGTCAAAAATACCAAAAGAGTAAAATATACAAATTACAGACAGCTTAGGAACGGAGTACCACTATATAAACACAGTAGGACCCCCAAACAACTGCACAGCCTAAGGATACAATGTTTTTCCATTTGGATTAAAAACTTACCAGTCTCTGCATGCTTTTTACATGGGTAGGACTAATTGATAAGGCCTCTTCATACCAGCGTTTGGCTTCATCAATATTTCCACGAAGTTCAGCCACTTGACCTCTCATGTAAAGGACATTATGCGACATTGGAAAGAGGTTAGCTGCTTCCTGGGTACATGCTGTGGCTTCAGCAGGTTTCCCAATTCCTATGTAGACTTCAGCTGTGGGCAGACAGAGTACACATTAAATATATTTTCTCTGGTTAATCATAATACGACAAAACAGCACAACAAGTGCCACATTTTATTGAGACCACTGATCTTTCACATGAGAGCCATTTTACTGAGAAAGGGATGGAATAAAGACTTACCAAAAAAAAAGTCACAAACCGTACCCAAAATTAAACACTATGTAGACTTCAGCTGTGGGCAAACAGGGTACACATTCATATATTTTCTCTGGTTAATCATAATATGATTTATTATAATAATATTTAGATAATAAGTAGCTTTTCTGTCTATAATATACTTGTGAATTTTTGCCCTGGATGTATAACCCACCTGAGGTATTTTTATAACCAAAAGTGTCTTAATTAAAGGGAAGTACTGGGGACTTAACAAATAGGTCAGTGTACATCCTAGTACTTCTCAATGAAAACCATCCTGGGAGAGGAAAATACCAATTAAATCTGACTGTAAAACTTCTGTCTTACACTGCCACGATTTTACAAGTTAACAGCAGAGTGAAGTATCAACTGCTCATGTTCCCAACCACTAAGTGGCAACCCTTATCTAAAAATCTCCTGTTGCACACAGTTAGGAGTTAGACCTTAAAAAAAAAAAAAGGTTGAATAAGCATATTTATATTGGCACGTGTGAAAGGCTTATTCAGCATTCTGATTTGCTGAGAAACAAAACACATTAACTGAGGCTTTTAGTAATTTCACAGAAACATTAAAAACTGCCATTTTAGAACAGCAACACTTAATCTAACAGACTGCTGTCAATATCGGTAACTGGTAATCTTGAGAAATAAGGCTGCTTGCAGATGTTTAAAAAACCCACATGTTTTACCAGAAGCAGCAGTGTGTTACTTCAACCCAGTTCTGCAACATCTGTAATAGCTGATTCAATCAGCTATTAGATAAAAGCACTAAAAGCCCCACTAAAGCACCTGATCTTTACAGACACTGCAGAGCCAGACTGAAATAACGCGGTGCCTCTTCTGGACATGCACAAGGCTCAGAGTGGGAATACACCGAGTTTAAAGCAAAGCTCCAGGGGTTTTTCTGGGTTGTTTGTTTTTTTAACATCTGCAAGCATCCTAAGGCTAGGGACAGACTTTACACAAAAACCGGTTTAAGTGATCAGAAACTGGTTTAAACCTGTAACAGAACAGATATTCAGTGCACATAAACCTGGCTGAAAATGGCTGAAACTGGTTTGATATTAACCTGGTTGAATGTAGTATCACACTTAACTGATTTGGCTGAAACCAGTTTATGCAATGTCTGTTCCAGACCCCTTGCTGGTTTAAGATAAAACAGACTCCCCCAGCATCCCAGCATGCTCTCTGGGCTGGGTAGGGCTCTCTGCTCCACAGCAAGGTTGGCCCCTCCCCTCTGCTCCCTGGCTGGAGCTCCAGCAGAGACTGCAGGTACAGCAGGGTCTGCCTGGCTTCCTCCTGCCCTATATCCCCACCGCAGGGAGGGAGATTGAAAAAAGTTCCGTACCATTAACAGATACATGCACTGCACACACCCTGCTCCCCTTGCCTCAGAGTGCTAGCAGGTATCTGGGGTCTGGCAACACTCCCACCCTTTGAGCAGCCAGTGGGAAAAAGCCTGGGATGGTGCAGGCAGACCTCCCTAATCAGAGGTCCTGTGGGGCCTGGCCACGCCTCCTCAGCTCAGTTCCTTGCAGAATGGAAGGGAGGGCTGCTCTAGCACCCCCCAGCTTCTAGCCTGAGCCACTGCACGCATGTGCCTGAATTTCCTCAGTTTAGAGAGAATTTTTGTCTGGTTACAAACCAGTTCAGCCTAGCCAGGTTAGACTAACCTGCAAAGACTGAATCAATTCAGGCTCAGGCTTTTGGAATGTTTGTCCCTAGCCTAGGCCTCTAAGCTGCTTTGACTACTTAAAATTAACTAGGTAAGTAATTAACAATAAGTGATAAAAGTATTTTATTTCAATAGTCCTTCAAGGCACTCCTCAATCTTTACATTGTCATTATATTGCTCATTTAGCTCAGTCTTTTCTTTGGAAAAAGAAATGGGCAAACAGGGCACATGGGCTAAGCAAAGACAGTCAAAAAGCCTGAGGCTGAATCTATTCCACCTTTGCAGGTTAGTTTAAGCTACATAGATTGAACTGATAAGCAAATGAACAGGCATTTACTTCTTATTTTGGAAATGCAGCCACATGCCTGCAGTGGCCCAGGCCAGAAGCTGGGGGGTGCTAGAGCATGCCTCCCTGCTTGCCTAGCGCAGACAGCTTGGGCCAAGATTGGCTTGCCCACCATGTGGGGTGGGGGGCAGCATTGTAGGGGAGGTACAAAGTACCCTGGGATGCTGGGGGGACTGCGAGTTAAACTTGAATCTGGAGGGAATCTGGGATAGAAGTTCCATAAACCAATTTAACCTAAACATCCATCTAGGTTTATCTTGAACCTGTTTTGGCCATTTTGAAAGAGGTTTATGTGCACTGAACTTCTGTTGTGTTGCAGATTTGAACTGATTTCTGATCCTTTATACCAGTTTACATATAATTTCTTTCCTTAGCCATTAAGAATTAGCAAGAAGCCAGGCTGCTTCTTTTGTCTTCATTTAGCACCCAGAACAATTGGGCCATAAATTCTGACTGTGACTTCTAGGTGCTACAATATCTCAGTTTATTAAAAAAAAAAAATCACAGCAAGCAAAGATTTATAAAGTCAAAACATTATGGTCCACTTCTCCTTAAAATTCCCTCTCAGGACAGCAACCCTGAAAATGCAGGAGAAACCAGCTTACTAGGGCTGGCTCTGATGACATCGTCCAATTCTTCCACTTCTTGGCTTAGGTACGTCATATTTGAGTTTGGACAACTCACCTTGCAACAAAATGTCGACCAGTGCTGGGCCAATAAGTGGGCACTCTGCAAGGTTTGAACAAAATATGAACAGCTAGTCCTGAATATGTAATCTCACAAAAAGGTCTTTGGAGTGGGGTAGGGATGAGATTTCAAACTCTGGTGATAAGCATTTTTGTTTTGAGAAGAAGCGTTTCATGCTCAGCCCTTGGGAAGACCACATACTTTTGCACTTTCACCTTGTGTTTGTAATATTCTTACTATAAATGTTTAAAAAGTCAGTATTGCTCTCTTTGATAGAGTTCTCTAAATAATTCAATCTTGTGCTAAAGGGTAGTGATGGTCAGGGCCTGACCAGCTCCACTGAAAGCAATGGCACTTTTCATCAATTTTAACTGGTTTTGGATCAAGCTTTAAATTTAGCACAACAAGAAACCATCATAATGGTTAAAGCACTTTCTTTTGCTACAAAGAACTATGCCAGATTAAATTTAATTATTAAAAGTACTTGGCTCTAGTCAACTTAATGGGATAGGGAGATTATAAGTCTTCATTTAATGGATACAGGTCATTTACTAATTCTTGTACACATTTTTCTGTTTACTAGTTTATAATAAAACACCACAATATCATCTGGACACCAAACTAATGGATGTGGTAAAAACAATACAGCATAAGAGAGGCTAAGGTTTTTTTATTTTTATTTTAAACAAAAACCCCCCACCAAAACAACTTTCCCAACGGAGCTGGGATAATTATTTTCTCATTTCCTTTCATTTTCTCTCTTTACATAAAAAATGTAAACACCCTGTAATCACTATAGTACCATATTTATGTTGTTGCCCTATGCGACATAATTTAATCTAACAGTACTCATTTTGCCAAGAAACAAGTCAAGCTGACTAGAGTTTGATATTAAATCTGATTTCTGAAATTAAATTTTCAGGAATCAGTCATAAGGATGAACTTGATATGCAATAAAATTTTGAGAAGATCTTGTAAGGTGTTCGTTTACAAAGCTGCCTCACAACTTAGAAATGATTATTAGCTATTAATACTAAAAAGTTGTATTTTTCTGATCTTAAAGGGAATCACAATTTTTTAAAAAAGCACATCATCTGTATAATCATCCTTTATAAAATAATCTCTTATCTTGAGAGCTGACTTATAAGTTGCATAGATGGGTTGGGGGCGGGGGGAGAGGGATAAGAGGGAGAGGGAAAGAGGTCAGTCCTGTTCTGTTTTCTAAACTTTAAACTGCTTTAAACCCAGATGCATGATTAATCTCTTTCAATGTTTCTATTATTTTTTCACAACTTAGGATATTTGCATTCATTAAAAAGGCCAATCCCTTTTAGAATCTTGCTAAATTCTGGGCCTTGTTTATCTCCGATGACAATAGGTTTGACAATCCAATTATATCTTGTATGAAAAATGTGTTTATCAGTTTTAAAGTCCTTACTTTAATTGGCTGTTCAGCTGCTAGGCTAGGGGTAATGGAGACAAACTACTTTCAAGATGAAACTCGATCAGTTTATGAAAGAGATTATGAAATATTACCTATAATGGCTGAAAACTGGACTCAGTAACCCAGGGTACTGCTACAGTCCTATATAAAATAGAGCCTTGGTAAATTAGAGAGGGTTATAATTCATGTGTGGATATTTTAGGACATGGACACTGAAGGGTGTTTGTATTGTGAAGGGCAAAACATTAATTGGATTAGCTTCTCAATCAGGAAAGCCAGGGCTGGACAGAACTGGGTGAGCACATATTTAAGTTTTACAATCATTACACTATTCCTGGTTATTCTAGGAACTTTATATGTAAAATTTATCTCTTGGCTTATAAAAGTACTTCCCCTTTTGTGGTAATAGCATGGATTGCCAAGGGACTGTTGGGATTGAAGTATATTGTTTAACAACAGCTTCAAATTTGAGGCAACAGGAGAGTGAATAGACTTAGCATCAGTCAGAGTGATAGGAATTGGTAGGACAGAAGCAGAGGTCCTCTCTACAACTGCAGCAGGAATTGTGACTGCATGTGTAGATATACTAATGCCAGCTGTAATCTCAGATACACTCAGGTACTAATAGTGGTGAAACTTCAGGACCATGCACTTCAACTGCTCGGCAAGTACCCAGAGTAGATTT